AAACAAAAATAACAACTTTTCCATGTAAATAAGATTTCTAAACTTTGGGTTATAGATTTGTAAGAAATATATATTTAAAAAATGACAAAAAATGATTGCAAGAATAAATATGATAGATGGTAAACCAATTAGAGCCGAGGGGGAGAGGTGTCAATTCTACACTTGTTCCAGTGTTCGGTGGGAGGCGCTTCAAGTAACTTTTTTTTGTGTAAGGACACGAGGTGGGGGAGGTTTTAGAGAAAATTTATTGGCACAACATCCAAATCCTATCAAAACATAGTACGCCGTCTCCAGTGGCGACACGGGAGTCACTTACAGGCGTGAAAACCTTACAAACGGCGAGCAACACAGATTTCGTCTTAACATCAAAAACTATGATTATATATTTATGAGTTATCTAAATATGTAGCATCTTTCTCTGATTGAATTCAACCTAAAGCTTATTTTTGCTCCACCACTATATGTTTATTTTTTCTAATATTTCCTTAAATGATTTATTGAAACGCATAAATGATACTTTTCACAATATTTTTGTAAACACGGCCCCAGAATTAGAAAAACTGGAATCATTAGTTTCTGCTCCTTCTACATGATTCTTGATGAGATTCATGTCCACAGACCACAAATATTAAAACAATTTTCTTTCTTTCTTTTCTTTTTTTTGGATTGCATTTTCATTTGTTCACTGCTGTTATTGCATTTCAAGCTTTAATTTTACGTGTTTCTTTTCTTTCGTTTGCTTCGTTGTTTCGTTTCGTTTGGCGAGGGCCAAAACGTTCCTCCCTCCAAACGTTCCGACTTAAAGGGCTCATGATTAATTAACACGAGATGAACTTTCAAGTTTATACCAAAATCTTACAACTTGCACAATAAAACACTTCTGAGCTTGTGTTTCTGGGGATGTGTAAACTTTTTAGGTGTGCAAGTAAAATGAAAGTTGATCGATCGTCTTTGCATCGCAAGAAGAATTTTTTGTTTTCATCTCCATTTTTTTTTTCTGTTTCTTTTTCTTTTCTCTAGTTTATATTAAATTATTTCTCTCGGGGAGGGCATACTGTCTGAAGCACACAGTTCGCTCTGGTGGTGTTTGATTGCAATAGACCTTTATATCTGCTGTATTGTTCTAATAAAAAGGTTTTTGAAGCAGTCACTTTGTTTTGGAAGTGTTATTATATACACAACACTGAGATTGCATCACATAAGCTCCTTGTTTTCTGTGTTAGTTAACACTTTACTTAAGCTGCAGCTGAGTTCCAAGTTTTAAAATATTAGGTTGTAGATGATTTACAATCCTTCTTCTACCCACACTTGGGTGTTGGGTATGAAAGATTCCATACATGTCAATACAAAGTAACTGCTCATGTAACCCTCTGCTCTGGGGTTCCTTGTCTAGTGGCATTCAACAACGTCCTATCACCTGATGCAGGCTTTGCTGACACCTTACTGGATAGAGATGCCAGCATGTGGGAATTGAACTTGAGACACCGTCTCCAGAGGCGTGTAGTCGTACCACTATGCTATCCAGCTTGCTCAGACAGAAAACCTGCAGTTGCAAATTTTTTCTTATTGATAATTTTCCTTATTTCTTTTAAAATTTAATGTGTGTTTAAAATGCATTTTAAGTATAAAAGTGCAAAAGTCTTGATGGATCCATCATTTCTCTATATTTTGTTAGGAAAATAGGAAATGGGTGCTGTGATTTCTTGAAATGTGCAAAAATGGAATTGACAAGCTTGAAGGTGAATATTTGGTATGAGCACCTTTATTCTTCAACACCGTCTGAACTCTTAGGCAGTTTTTTTTTCCTTGTAATTTCTTTAAGAGTCTGGAAACATTCAGAGATGACTGATCTGTTTGATTAGATATTTTTGCTGTAAGAAGCAGTTGATCAAGTGCAACTAAATATTTAAACAACTGAAGGAAAAGGATAACACAAACAGTTAACAAAAGAATAAAGGATTTAACATCCATTTTTTTTTTAATTAATCATATAAAAACAGATCTTATTGAAAGACCAGTTCACAAGAAAAAACAGTAAATATTTAGACTTTTGGAAAACAGCATCATAACAGTCGTTTCCTCAGATTCACTCTCATATACGTGATTCAGTCTCGTTGCTAAAAAACAAAAACAGTCGAGCATGCCTTTTCTAAAGAGGTGAGGAACAAACATCCTGTACAAATAAATGATGAAAGAACAAAAAGGAAATATTCTTGAAACCAGAACGCTATAAATACATTCTTTAACCAGAAGAGACAAACAAATACAGTTAAATTAAAAGCACTTTGGTCTTCCTCCTCAAACACACTGAAGATGATTATGCTCGCATTTTTATGAATGAAGCTTGTTCCAGTGAACCGAGGCAACCACTTGTTTCTTTTCCGTGGGCATCATTACTTCACGTACCGTTTCGGATTTAATTCACACAAATCATCAGTACACACGCTGAACTAGCATTCGCTATAACACCAGACACACACAAACTGTATCACACAGAGTGATGTAAAAAATATTGTTGATACAAAGTAACTTTTCTTCCATTGAGAACGTGTTTTTAAAGTGCATGTCTTTGTTCACACACAAGAAAGACTTCACTGAAGTGTCGTGTACACCAACGTCTAAAGGAGCTCCGAGCGTTCAACAGCATTTTGTCAGTTTATAAAATATCTGAGTTGATTGTGATTGCCTTTATTTAGGGTTCAGTTTTATTATTTGAATGAACTTCTAATTGAGATTTGACCTGGTGGAGTGAAGGGAGAGGCAGAGATCTCCAGTACGAGTTTCCGTTTCATTTATCCAACATTTTGCTTTTTGGGGATTGTCTCCTTCATGCTAGGACAGCTGAAACTGTTTGATCTGGGACTGGGAGTCGATAATGAAACCATCTGCTATGCAGGTGCGCTGCTTAACGAGCTGTTGGACACATTACATTTTGGCAACCTATTTTTATGCTGTTATATGACGTATCCAGAGAAGTTGCAGTTATCAGTTCACATTTTAACATTAAAACTTCAGTTTGAGATTTACCAAAAATCTTTGTCGGTCCAGTCATCTGTGTATTTAAAGGGCATCCACACAGGAAGCAGCTAGTGGTGGGGCCCAAGGTAAGCTTTCCTCAACTTAGAGATGAATTGATACTGGCTGTTGTTAATCGACACGTTAGCGGGTTGAAGATACATTAGAGCAGATGTGGGCATTATCTGACCATTGGTGGCCCATGATAATTAAAATTTTTTTTTACTCATGTGTGTGCAACTAAATACAGTGGTAATAAAATTATGTTTTATGAGATGTGGCTATTTATCATTGTCTAAATATGAACTTAAGTCCGAGGTAAAGCTGTGTGGTCATTTGGTATGTTTGAATCGCTATTACAAGACTAATCATAAAGAGAAATACAAGAACTTGACTTTTTACAAATCGACACATCCAGGGAGAGAGCAGTCAAGACCAGCGTTGCAATTTTGTGAGATATTGCCCAAAAAAAAGTAAACAATAAGAGTCAATGTTTGGTGGAGAATGTGCCCCTCTCTAGCTGAACCGTAATAAGATTGACTGAGGACACTGCAGGAAGTCTAGAGCTCCAGTTGGAAAAACAAAGTGGACAGATTTGACTTTTCCTCTTTGCCCCTGGATGAGACGTGTCGTCTCATAGTCTAGTTACTAATTTTTGTCTGTAAAAGAACGGAAGGAAAACATATTAGAAAACGGGGCAGCAACGCATGCTTGGATAGGCTCGAGATGATGGGGTCTACAACTGCTGTCGTACTGTAAAAGCACACGCAACGTTAAATGACTGAAATGAACCCAGACCTGAAAGTGGTATTTCTGTCAGTTATTTTTTGTTGATGTTGCAACTAAAATGGTTTGTTCTACTTTCAGAAGAGCGTGAGACTGAAGATGGTGACATAGCTACCACACAGCTGCCAGGTGGCTCAGTCTGGGCAAAGTGTTAAAATAAATATCAGATACTGAATCTGACTTTAATGCACTTGTTTAGGCCCAAAACCGACTGGATCTCTCTCACTGAACAAGAAACAAGAACTGAAAAGCTCCATTAAACTACCAGCAAAGTAGCAGTAGCACTTTGTATAACTTTAGACTTATTTTCAGTTTTGGGGAACGTTGAAATCAAACAACAATAAAATGTTGGCCTACTATCCCCAGTTCACATTTTTATTGCCTAATTGTAACATCTACTCTTATCAGTTGCAGCTTAAAGAGAGAAAATACTGAGCAGACTTGAGTTCAGCTTATTGGTGCAGCCCTCCACGACTGTGTTTCTCATGTGGCCCTTTGGGAAATAAAGCACACGTGGCTTTGCGTGTGTTCTGAACAAAGAAAGCTGACGGGTGACACCGTCGAGCCGTTTGAAACCAGTTTACCTGCAAATTTCATGGACACAGATGCTGTGTCAGCTCTCTGAGGGAAGTGTTACCATCTACTCGCGTATTGCTGGAAATGCTCCTGAAACCACTGATGGGGCTCGTAATATTAAACTGGAGCAAAAATTGAAAGGTCTTGCTTCAGGTCACGCCGTCTAATAGTGAAGAATAACTGTAGACATGTTCAGTCTTCTTTCTGTTCACACGTCTGCGGCCGTGTCGCTTTTCTCCCTTTTGGTTTTGGTAAATGTCATCTGCTCTCTAGTTTTGTTTTGCTTTTAAATACCTGGAGAATGGAACTGTTAACTTCCTTTAAGAGATATTTGCATGTGGCCTGAGTGTGAACAGGTGCAAGACACCAGCAATGTTTTTAACCAAACCAGTTAGCAGCTTGATCTAAAGGTGTCCGTGTGGAGCGTTTATCTATCTTAAAGAACATGTTACACCTTCAGTATTTGTTTGTAATAAAATTAAAAAATGTTTGACGAACTCAGTTTGTTTGAATAAAACCACTGGACTAACGTTTGCTTTTTTAAAATCTGTTTTGTTTTGAAACTCAACATATAAATAACATTCAGTTTAAGCAAAAAAAAAAAAAAAAGGGAAAAAATACAATAAAATATTTTTGCCTGCAAATGAGATAAAATGAAAAGCTGCAGATCGAGCTGAGAACCTCAACCATCACTTAATAATAATTTATGTTCACACAGCGTTCCCCCTACCAACAACTCAGGGGGGGCGAGAGGGAAAAAAAAGCACACTACTGTGTTTTTGTTTGTGAAGTGAAGATAACGTTACTCCTGTTGAAGCCAACTTCATGTGTGTAAATGCAAAAAGCATCCCAACAAGTCTTGATCCGTCTAAAACGACAGGGGAGATTTGCTTTAGAGCAGGGGGGAGGAAAAAAAACAAACAAGCGAGAAGTCTCCCCTCCAAAGCGGTAACCTAGGGGAAACACTCATAACACTTTTGTTGACAGGTAAAAACCGAACTTTGTGTCACAAAACACAAAAACATGAAAGAAACTAGAATTCAAATAAAGCCTAGGTATAAACACTGAATGGGTAAATAAATAGTCTGTGAATTGCACAAAGTGGAAACGTTGAAGGTCAAAGCACTCTGATATGTCGAGGCTGAGGCTCGGTCTCTCGGTGGGTCGGGCCAGTCGGACGAGCGTTCAGCCAGTCAGTGAGAGTGAAGTGTTGACGCCGTTTCTCAGTCCACTGTCATGATTTGATCTTCCACAGCTGTGAACGGGAACAAACGAACACACGTCAGACACTCGAATCGGAGAATTCAGCCAATGAGCAGCTACAGTTTAACAACAAAACGCAGGAAAGGTATCAAAGGTAAGATCAACAGTGATGCAGGAGGAGCCAGATTAGGTGTCAGCTTATTAGACATTTGGTCTACTTCGTTTATATCTCTGCTAAATACTGGAAACTGTACCCAATAGTATGAAGCCAGGTAAATCCATTTTATTTAAATCTGCCTCGATCACCACGGTAACTTACAGTAGTGTGCAAAAGTCTTCATTTTTTATAGTTTGCTGGGGAAATGGGTGGAACAGTTTATTGAAATGTGCAAACATACATGGAAATACGGAAAACAGGCAAAGGCAAAAAACAGAGTTTCTATAATTCTAATGAGCTTGAAAGTCTACATTTGCACACATTTATTCCTCAACACAACCTGAACTCTCTTAGGCAGCTTTCTTCTAATTTCTTTAAGCGGTGTCCAGGAATAGTTCTCCATGTTTCTCGAAGGACATTCGAAGCTCTTCTTTGGATGTTGACAGCATTTTGTTTTGTTCTCTGTCAAGTTGGGTTCATATCAAACTGTGTTATCTTTATCATTTTTGTAGATTCAGCTAAAGTGTTTTTCCAACATGGCGAAACACTTTTGCACAGTACTGTACGCCCTGCTAATACTGAGCTGGACCTTTTCTGTTGAAGGAAAACATTTTGCAAAAGAAACCTGGATCAGCTGTGTCTCACGAGTATCACAGGAGGCTGTGAAGTTACAGCAGTGAAAAATGCAAAAATGCATGATCACAGGAACTTTTCGTGCATTCAGCTGGCCATGCACATGTTTTCATGCCTAATCGTAATCTGCAACCACAGCTAATATATAACACAGAATAGAAAAGAGTAATTTTGCTTTAATTTGGGTAGAAACTAACATGATTTCAACATCTGTCATTCGGTTTAGAGACACGGTCAGTCCTGAATGCACCAGTGTTTAAATCCATCAGCTCTAATATGCTAGAATATGTGACAGACAAATGGCAGCACTAAGAGCCACTGAAAAAACAAATATTAAGTTATGAATTCACATTTTCTACAACACAGATCTCTTATTTGCAGCATCATTGGCTTTTACAATTAGAATTTTTATAGCCTGTTTTTTGTGAATATCTGTCACCTGTTTCCGTGATAATATCTCTAAAGTAGGCAGCAATTAATCCATTTTTGTGAGGAAGACGAGTGAAATCACACGCCAAGCACCCCCTGTTACACGAGCTCGTCCTGAGCTGCCTCAATCAGAAACGCTGCTGTGACACCCGTCATCTCTGCCTGGATTTCAGGTTTTTGTTGAACCAGCTAATGCAAAGAAAGCCTGTCTACGACTGCCTTTGATTTTAAATTAGTGCTCATCTGCTCCCTCATAGGTCAGAATTCAGCACACGTACTTCTCCATCACAAACTCATCTTCCAGGGATTTGATTTACACTGCAAGATTATGACGTGTTTTAACCCAACAAATCTTGAAAATTCATTTTTGGTGCTAAAAAAGGATTTTCAGTCCACATTGTCTGTTTTGCACCTTTACTGTTTTACTTCCTCAAAGGACAGAGGTTTTTTTTTTTGGGGGGGGGGTTTCCACCACAGGACAGACGTGAACAGATACATGTGACTAAAGAGCGTTCACGCATAAAATTACCTTCAGGTTAAATCCTAACAGGTCAGATATGACTCCCGACACAGCAGACAGGATGACCACCTGGGTGATGTTGTAGAGCAGAGGGTTCATCGTCAAACCGTACAACCTGAACGGAGTATCCAACTCCTGGAGAAAAGGAAAAGAAAAAAAAAAAAAAGAGTCAGATTGTAAAAGCAGGGGCAGTTGGTGCCAGATGACCAACAAGAAAGGATATTGAGACAGTGTGTGTACCTTGAGTAGTTTGGTTGCCAGTTTTAAAACATTGTTGACCAGTGTCAGCTCCTCCTTCTTGTTTGGCTTCTTCTCCATCTTCAGATACAGGTTAATCTGTGAGAAACGCAGTGGATCAGGGTCAGAGTTTGGACACGACACTGATCATACTTGTATATTGTGTGTGTGTGTGTGTGTGTACGTGTACCTGTTCAGTGAGCAGGATGGAGGTGTTGCTATACTTCTTGCTGGTCTCCGAGCCCAGAGTGACGAACCGGAGCAGGAACAGAGTCAGACTGGAGCACCAGATCACCAGCTCCCAGTTATAGTGACAGTCCAGGAACGTTTCATGGACATGGAGCAACTGGAGGAAGAGAGATAAACACACTGTTCAGTTTCTAAAACCAAAAATAAAACAGACTTGCTGATACTGTAATTACATTTTTTTTTAATGTATATGAAACACCACATTTGTAACAAGCTGCAGTGTCTTTCAACTCATTTTCCCTTTTTTTTACAGCACAAGTACTGTAAATGTCCCAAAATAATTATTCTGAAGGTCGATGCATTCACATATTTGCTCTTTATCAGTTTTACAGATCAGTTTTACTTGAGCTGACTGTTCTGCTAATTGTATGACTGACCCCTGGTGGCAGAAACTGTGCAACACATGTAAGACTCGTCTGCATCATGTGCAGGTTTAGGCTCTGCAGCCAATAAAAACTTGTTTTACTGGCTAATGTGGAAAAAGCTGTTATGTAACATCTTGAGGCCTCACAGCTTTTCAGGTAAAGATAAAATCTTTTTGATTACAACATCTTTAAAGTGACTATAACGGGCACAGCCGGATTACCCTGCAGTGCTATCTGCTTGATCACTTTTATAAACAGAGCTGATGATGTCAAACACTCCTTCAGTTCCTAAGTGCAAACGAGCATGGCGGCGCCACTGAAAGTTAAAACACTAATTCTTTCAGTGCCAAAAAACAAACAAACAGTGAAAAGTAAAATAGCAGCAAAGTTTAGTGGGTTAGTGAAACTGGGCTACATGATATATACTGATGAGCTACCTGGTGGGTAGCTATAGTGTGATTAGGCTTATGCAGGCTGTTTTTTCCCCGGAAGTTCACATGAGGGTCCAGACTTCCCATGGACGAGAGGATTCTACACTTTGAATAGCAAGAATTGATGGTGCATAGTAGTTGCAAGCTGCTTTGATTAGACATATAGTCTCAGTCTCAGGAAGTGTGCTTCAGGTTACGCTGTAGAGCTGCAGGGGGGTTTGTGATTACGACGTAGCTACAGTGCAGGTGTCCTGGTGAAGCATAAATTCCTAGTTAGAAGGGATTTTTTTTCCCCTTGAAGTGTTGAAATAATTAGTACCCAGGTCACTGTGAGTCCATGAGCTGTAGTTTAGAGTTTTTAAAAAAAAAGTAGATTAAAGACAACTAACCGAAGAATGACAATTTAATATACTCTGAGAACCGTGTAGAGGAATCTTCCCATTGAACTTTTTGTGATTTCCTGCCTCTTTGGAGCAAAAAGAGCCCATACAAACACATGAGATATCAGTGAAAAACCCACGATGTTCTCTATTTAGTACATCAGGACTTGGTCAAAAGATAGACAGGGGTGCACATAAGTGGTCTGCAGGTGCGCATTCGCTGTCAAAATAAAAGACGTGCACAAGATAAGAAGTTGCAAAGCGCGTTTGCGTACATACGATTTTCTGAAGGAGGACAGACATTTGTTTAGAACTCTTAAAGATGTCGAAGAAGCGAGCTCCTTTAAGCAATTACTTTGGTGTTCCTCCACCTCCAAAGAAATGTCAGAAGGAGTCCAAACCTCAAAAGAAGCGCGTATTCTCAGAAAAGTGGTTTCAGGAGGTGAGCTGGCTGCAAACAAATGATGAACGCACAGAGATGTGGTGCAGAATGTGCCGTGAAAATCCCACTCTAGCTGACAAAAACAGTGCCTTTTATATGTACGCAAACGCGCGTTGCAACTTCTTATCTGGTGCGCGTCTTTTATTTTGACAGCGAATGCACACCTGTGGACCACTTACGTGCACCCCTGGATATAGACCAAAAACAAATGTCCATCACAGAGGACATAAATGAATCGGCTGGTTCTCATTTTAGGGGACTTGAGTATTTAAAAAAAACATAAACAAAAGAAAAAAACCTGCAGAAAGTTGAAAGGGCAAGAGCAACACTTTTTGTAACATTTCTCTCCATGATTTATCCACTTTGTAACTTAAAACAAAAACTTGTATATTTTGCTGATTTGACACCTTCAGAAGTTACCTGAGCACAACAGATGAAGACGACTGACAACGTGAGCAGGAAAGCAGACGATACAATGACATCCACCGAACGCTGAGGACCCCGTCTCTGCAAATGCAACAGTTTCTCCATTTGTGTCTTTACTTAACATTTAATTTTTTCCAGTTGTACATTTAAGACTTTTACTTTTGTACCTTGAGGTAGGAGCGTAGCGACAGCCACATCTTGATGTTCTGAACTTTCTTCAGCCTAAAATGTGGGACCTCAGACTTCCTCGCTCTGCGGGCCGAAGTCAGGTGACCAAAAAGTTTGGCAAACAGAAGTCTCTGAAACATCGACGTGATTGTAAGTACAGGGACCGTTTATCCGACTTGCAAACGATCAGCAGACAACAGTTTTTATCTGTGCACCTGTTTGTATGTCCTCTCTGCTACGCTGAGCAGGAAGAAGAAGAGCCAGATAAGGCAAACGCGCACCAGGAAGCTGAGCGTTACCATGGTGATTACCAGGACATCTGAACCAGACCCACACCCCAGCGCCACAGACAGAAGCTCATTGGCTGAGAGAGTGGTCAACTGATCCAAGTCACGGTACTGAGCCAGTCTGCATAGGAAAGAAGGATATAGGTCGGAAAATAATAAATCCACACATTTAAATTCTTAAGTTACTATATTTTTTTAAAAATGACACCTTGCCAAACTGTTTCAGATACATGTAACAATATTAAACACACAGGCATTAACATGATCATTCAAACTGAATTTTAACTTCAAAAAACACAGTTAAAAAAAATGAAAACTGCTATTACTTTGCTACAGTGTCGTAGCTGCACCACAGAGCAACACTGCAAAGTTCACTAAACATAGATGTTTACATTTTTCATTTATTTTTTATATTGCAAACATTTGCACTGTTATCAGTATTTGCACACTATTTTATATTATTTTTTGACAATCTTTAAAGTCATTTTCAATACATTGTTATTGTTAAATAAATATCGTCAAATAATCGAGATCTCAATTTCAGTGAAAATAATCGTGATTATCATTTTTGCCATAATCGAGCAGCCCTAGTGGAAACCACCACATAGGTAGGCGAGTTGGCGTTCTCAAATAAAATTATTCACAGATATGTTCTGGATATTTACTTTTGTCCTGGTCAAAACCATTCTTAACATTCATAACAGCTGATTGTCACTGTTCAAAAGACTTCAGTTGGATCACTATTCAAATACTGACCACACGTGTAGTATGGATTACCTGTAAGCAAAGGGTGTGAGCCCAAGCGCTACTGAAACTAGGTTCCCAAAGACCTGGTAACCGATTCCAGGAGTGTAAAGATTCACCTGTGAAAACATACAAACTACATGAGTATGGTGCCCTCGTTAGTGTTTTTTGCTTGTATGGAAAGCGTCACTCACTCTGTTCATAATCATGCCGCTGATCTCCAGGACAGACATGTCTGCTTTCTTGCACTCGTTTCCCTCCCACACGATGGCGCTCACCCTTTCCAGGCCTGGGTTGGAGCTGTGCAGCCAGGGAAGGTGACCCTGCAGGGAAACCAAACACCATTAAATACTGACACCTCTCCTCACGGCAACTACTACTACTACTTCAGATCATCCCACCCCATCCCCATTATCCTCCTCTGTATGTCCTCTTCCACTATGTCCACAAAGCTTCTCTTTCTCTATCCCTTCTGTGTGACAGCTCCATATTCGACATCCTTTCTCCAATATATCCACCCTCTCTCCTCTTCGCATCTCTCTCATATAATCCTGTATAATCGTACTCAGGTCTCACTACCACCTTGTAAACCTTCCCCTTCACTCTTGCTGCCATCCTTTTGTCAGAAATCACCCCTGACACTCGTCTCCACCCATCGTCTTCTCTTTTGTGCACCGTCTGATGTTTTGGATTATTGACTCTAGTTGTTTCTACCTTCACCTTCTCTACTCTGTTTAGTGAAACTACTCTGCTTTATTACTGCTAAAAGTGGAGGTAAAAGTAGGGTGACCAAAATTCCTGTTAAACTTCAAGTCATCCTAGTGACATATGTGACGTTTCCTCCCATGAATTTGTCATAACTGTTATGCACGTCGTGGCTCACTGTTTTCTTCTAATTGTGATATTGTAATGATTTGGTCTAAAGAATAGCAAACAGAGTAGCAAGATTCCTCTATTCCCGTGTGAAATACAATAGAGTATGAATAACCTCCCTCAGTCATTGAAAAAGTTTGGTTACTCAAGTTTTAAGTACTTTAATCCACAAATCCTCAAACTCCAAGTGTGAGAGCATTTACAGACCTGATGGAAAGGGTCGTCTCTGTATTCCTTCTTGGCCGGACACACAGGCGTTCCTCCTCCTTCTCCCTCTGTGAGGAAGAGCAGCGATAGTGCTTATTTACACGCAGTCATCGGAAGGTATGCCAGGGTTCATATGCATTTTTCAGAGTCAACTTCAAGCACTCTTTAAGCACTTTCAAGCTTTTCCAGCACATTACCAAAAAAATCCCAAAACTATCGCCTCAGTAAGACCATGTAAAAATTAAAACAAATCATCTCAGGTCGACCTAAATGTCCTTTGTTCCCCTATTGTTAAAACAGAGAAAAATGCACCACACAAAAACACTGAAAAAGGAAATGGTTGCCATATACGCATATAGTGTACAAACTCAAAAAACACATTTCTCTTAAAATTTAAGATGCGCAAATGTAAACAAACCAACTTGTTAGAGACATTCCTCTCCACTTGAAAAAAAACAACAACCCCACAAAACAAGAAAACTTCACCAAACGCCACAATAATACACAGCAAGGCCAAATTAAGTTTTTTCATCAGATATTGATGATTCTTTCCTGTGTGACACAAAAATAGGAGACAGATGTTTGTTTGTTTTTAACTAGTTAAACACCCACGCCCAGAAAAATGGGGGCTAAATGGAGGAGATCACGTTTAATCGGTTCCTAAATATAAGTGCCGACATGAGTAGTGTCACAGGTAATATCCATATTTTGTTATATGATTTAAATATGAACCAAAGCATATTTTATGCTATAAAATACTTTAAAAAATTAGGTGAAGGAAATAAAAAAAATCTAATGTTTCTATGTTTGAGTCACAGTAACTTTGACATAGTAACATCTGCAGTAATATTTACACCTCTGATGACATCTCACAAGTGTTAGCTGTATTTTGTTACCAAGACTGTTTACACACAGTTTGTAGTGGGAGAGAAATGCTCCATTTATTTTGGTCAGAAAGCTCAGAAAACGCCCGCCTGAGGATCTAACAGCTTAAAGTTAATATTAAAACTCAAGATTTTTCAAGGATGTCAAGCACCCGTATGAACCCTGGTATGCGTCTGAGTTTAAATGACTTTAGTACCCAGCAGATGATTTCTACATCTTCCTCTCACCTGTCTCTGACGTGCAGGACGATCGGCACTCAGTGCAGTGCAGGAAGTCCTCCCACATCAGGTCCTCGGTCTCAGACTCGTGTCGAGTACTCTCTGAATCCTGAGTCCTCAGACTTGAACATCTGGAGCTGCAGCTGGTACCAGACTTGGGGACATCCTGACAGAAAGGAGAAAATGACTGTCATTTGTTTGAATTTGTCCAGTATAAATGAATGAATGAGCTTCCTGCGAAGGAGTTAATGTGTCCATGCTAACCTCCACAGTGTAGTGTTTCTTATAGTGGTGCGTATTCTTGCGATTTCGGAGTGCACAGTCACTGTTCATTCTTTCCACTCCCCTGCGGAGGGCGCTGTAGGACGCTTCAGGGTCCTCCTCACTGGAAGCCTCATCTGACGCCGGCTCCTTAAAAACAAAGTGACATGAGAGTCAAATCCAGGACAATATTAGGGTTAAAATATTGAAATAATGAACACTGATAGGTTACCTTATTACCACCGGCCAGCAGCAGTCCATTGTTGCGGGCAGCGTGACCGTGTGCAGGCTGTGTGTGCGGGTTCCAGCACACCTCGTCAGCCCTATTTAACAAATCGCATCGCTGCTCGTGGAGCTGGAGCCCCTCCTCGCTACTGCGATTGGTCACGCGGCCATCCAGCGACACGTAGCCGTTGTCCGTTTCTGTGGATTTATCGATGGAAAGCTTGGACTTCTTGGACCTTTGGTAGGAAGCAAAGGAGAGGAAGAACAGAAAGAAAACCAGACCGGAGGTCGATGGGGGGGGGAAAAGTGCAGAAACAGACATATTTAGATAAGCAGAGAAGTGGCAGGGCTGTGATTATCTTAAACTAGTAAATAATTACAGTTAGAAAATTAGACATGCAATAGCAAACTCACAACAGGATGCATTCAACACAGTAATGTGGAACATTCACACAAAATAAACGCTTGTAATGGCAGCTAAGTCGACATCGAGTAAGATACCTGCATTTTAAAATACAGTGTTTTATCTGTAGTACAATTGGTGATACTGCTTTCTGATACTTTCTAAAACTATTTTTGGAATAAAAGAGCCTGAATCAGATAGAAGAAAGTGTTTTGGAGCTAAAGTGAGTGTGGCAGATAATCAGTGGATGGATTTCCCAAATAAAGAGCTACTTGGATCTCAAACAGGTTCCACACTGTTGCGGTCTGCTGAAAGCTTGTTCAAGTAGAAGCATGGGGGTTAGGGCTTTACTCACCACAGACATGCACGCCTCTTGCCCCAGTGCTTCTTTTAAACATAGCTTTATCAGCAAATTACTGGCATAAAATTTAGCTGCAAAATCCACCTGCACCTCATTAATGAGGGAAAGATTTGGCACTACAGGAAGCAGAATTTACGCAGGCGTTAAACTGCAGAACTGACTTTACATTTCAGCACCAAGCTTGCCTGTTTAGTTGACCAATGAGGGGGACGGTGTTCTCCATCCCTTCCTAAATAAACGTTAGGTTATGATGTTGCAGCTAAAGAAGCCCAGGTTAGGCTCTGAGGCAAGGCTGGGTTTTTGTTTTCAAAAAACCCAACGTTTGAAATTCAGAGATCTCTTTGCAAATTAATGGATTCAAACTGTAGCCCAGCCCTGCCTATGTTCATCATCTCATTGTAGGAAGATGGAAAATGAAAATACACACCCAGCTTTACAGATATCATGCCAGAAATCGTGGAAGAAAGCGCCCAGGCTGTATGTGGTGCTGGCTGAGTGGGAGTGTGGCGCCCCCTCCTGTGTGTTATCGGTAGTGCTAGACCCGTCGCCTTCCCTATGCACCTCCATCTGAGATGCCTTCCTCAACTTCCTTCGGTTTGGAAAAAAGTGGAGAGACACTTAGAGCGGACCTGGAGACTCCTGACACCACAGCCGTGTGTCCACCGGGAGTCTGGCTGCACCTTCATCGTAACACTGATGATACGGTTCAACTAACACAGGAAGCTAAACTCAAAAAAGGTGCTGTGACTCAGCCGGCACCTGCTGGACACACAGGCTGAAACAGATCAAAGGCAAATTCTCCCAAAATCATCATCTAGGCTGTTACTCTGCAAAAGTAGATTCATGAAATAATACAACCTAAAATTTAACTATAATAGCATCAAAACAAAAAAATGATAAAATAGGGATTTAGGATGCTTCCAGTTTCACTGGTGTTCTTTGGGTTGTGAATGTGATAAACTGAAATTCTGTGTTTATTTTTGCAGGACATTAACATAAAAAATTATTATCAAGAACTTGATTATCATTATTTTAATATAGGACACACAGGAGAGGTGCAGGACAGAGCTTCCTAAAATTTAAAAGCAAAGAGTTCATTATGATGATCACTGGGTTAAAAAAAAAAAAAAAAAGTTAATTTAAATATTTTGCTGCTGTCAATTGATATGACGACATGTCTCCAAAGGTAGGATAAAGAAAAGAGAGAAAGGTCACAACAAACTCCTCTTTGATCAAATGTGATTGTTTTCTGTCGCCTGAAAATCACAAGAAGTACAAAGATTGATTCAGTATTGAGGCACACTATTTCTGTATCCCCAGAAAACCTTTCCAAAACAGTGGCATGGTCCAATTTTCTTCCCAGGAGTTTGAAAATTGTCTTTACGTTACTGTGAGCCAGAAAAGCAGCCACACACCAAAAAGCCTTGAACCAAAAAAACAAAACAAAAAACAAAACACAAAGGGAAACTCACAGACTGCAAATCTAAACACTACAAAACACAGCAGCAATAAGCAAACTACTCTACTTTCTCACACACACACAGAGCTCATTTCATCTTTAAGAAGTGACAGCACATTCATCCAGGGTGTGTTTTAGTACAGATTTGAGTGTTTTACGCTTTACATTAACTGAGGTCAGATACACCCCAGCAACAAAAGAGGTTTTCATTCATTTTTCTTTCCATCACTCTTTTGGTATCTCGTGGTTTGTATATCAACTAAATACTGCCTTTGTTATTTCACATCTTCCTCTTTATCTCTTCCTGACTCTCTCTTTTGTCCCTGAAGGGCTTTATCTCATGTGATGCCTTCACCTCCTCCCCATCTAGTCTTCCTAAAAGCTTTCACTCAGCAATACTTCTCAGCCCTTCTCCCTTCCTCACCTGCGTCTCTTCCCCCCACTGCTGGAGGCAGGTTTCGGGGTCCTGGTGGAGACAATCTGACAGTGGACGGTGCCCAGCAGCAACATGAGCAAGATGGCTTCAAACACCTCGGTGGCCGGTATCCCATGAGGCTGCGGGATGGTCACATACAGGAATGCTGCAGCGACTGTGAGAAATATGAACAAACAGGATTCATTAGAGCAGAAACAGACATTAAATTAAAAGTAACAGTAGCAGCTTGAAGACAAAACTGCAGGTCTACACATTACATACAGCTTGTTTTAATCTACAAGTTTAACAAATGAGTAGAAAAGTCTGAATGTGACTCAAGTGAGTAAAAGCTCCTCTAATGTTAATGTTTTGCAACAGAAAAACACACCAACTCAAATATGCAAAAAGAACTGATGAGTTTTAATATCTTCCCCTGGATTGACCAACTGCTCTCCATCCCATTCCTCCATGTTACTATTTTATTTGTTGCTTCTCTGCTTGTTTCTTCTTTTTTTTTTCTCCAGTGTATGCTCAACAATTTAAAAAAAAAAAAAAGCTTGACACTTCAAGTTATTTTCATTGTAGTGTCAGCAAGAAGGCGTGTGGTGTTTTATGTGGTCTGTAGACGAGGTCGGCAGGAAGGGTGGAGGGAGAGATGAAAAACAACAGTGTTTTCTTCAGGGTAGAAAAGGTCAACGTGATGTAGGTGGTGGAAAATACCGTTCAGTGCTCGTGAAAGTGTTTGTGCAGAGAGCGCGAGTGAGCGTGTGCATCTGTGGGTGCAACCTGGAGGTGCTTCTTATAGAAGTCTGTGCATTTTAGGAAAAACATTATTTTACAAGCGCTTTGGCAGCTGTTCAAGCAGTTTGTGAACCTCGTTTTAAACTGAAGACTAAAGAAGAGGAATAAATTACCCTTATAGTCAGCTCCATGTTTTTATTCTGGGAGTCTGCTGGAGTACCTTTGCATGATTCACAGTTCAGAACATTTGCGTCTTATAAGAGGCCTTGGTTTATCCTCCAGACTGTTGTAGCTCCTACCACTTTAAAACCACTTTCTTCTGATTGGCAACCCTTCAAAGGTTTTCAATAACAGAGAGCTGGGGCTTCTCTGTAGAAATGTGTGTGCCTATTCTCCTGAACCATAGGTGTCACCACTCAGACAAAACTAGAGGCAAAGACTTTGAAAACATGAGACTTGTGGAAAAACGCTCTGCAAACTATCGCAACTTCTCCCTCTCTATATCTGCATCTCTCTGAGCCTCTGTCCCAGAATCTCTTTCAAATGGCAGTAAAAACCAATACAATCATACACGCGTGGCTTCAACCCAGCTGCGACATCAATGTTGCAACACGGCAGATCAGGAGCCGCAGAACCGATCAAAGCGGAACAATCTGCTAGACCAAAGTAATCATGAGGTTCTTGTGCAGCACCCTTTGTGACTGACAGCTGGCAACCACTTGCAAACCAATTGGAGAATACATTTTCTCTAGTAACAGCAGATTGCCAGGGAGTCGTCTAAGTCTGTGCGACTGATACATAAGATGACCATATAAGGAGACTTCTCCTCTGATGTTGTGCATATCCAAGAATAAAATATAAAAAAAAATAAATTAAAAAAAAAATCAGGATTATTGTACATACACTAACCTCATTCTTTGAAAGTTTGGTCATGTTTAATATGATCAAATCTAAATGTAAAGAGCAAATATATGACAGGAGATAAAGACAAAGCAATAGGTCACTCACTCAACAAATAATCAGGATTTATTTATTTGTACACCCACTACAGATGTTGAGAGTGTTCACCCTGACATCTTACTAAACAAACAACTCGTCCCACAGTTTACTTAGGAGTTGCATTTCCACTCCACTGAGAGCACCAAGATTGTGGGTTGTGAGAAAAGAAAAAAGAAACACACTCTCACACCAACCTTGCAGCAGATAGAGTGCCAGCAGTAAGAGGAAAATGGCCCTGGAGGTGACTTGGATCCACCATCTGTAAAAAAACGGGAAGAAGACGACTCGAACGATGCCCTTCCGGGTCAGTGACGTCCATGGACTCTCAGGTTTGGCCTTGGCAAACGCAGACCCTGAGGATAAGAAAACAGAAACAAACACACACACACATTCTCAAGTTTAATGAGAGCTAATTAAAGCAAATGACTCTGCTGTGAGCAGAAAAGCACATCAGTTAATACATCCAGGAGTCACATTAGAGCTCAGCTAATCTTTTAATCTTCGCTTCTTCCTTTTTAGGCTCCCTCTCCCTCCTCATCTATCTTTTTTATCTCACCAGATCCCTCCCCCCTCCCCCCGACTCAGTTTATCTTTTCCCTGCCTGCGTTTCTGCCTTGATTATGTCCCTAACCAAGGGGGATTAAACTGACTCTTCTGATGAATAATTGAAAATGTGATGAATATGAGACGGATGGATCGAGGCAGAAAGAAAGAGCGGGCATTAACAGCGACGGGAGGTTGGCACGGCCATGCTGCCCGTCTCATGTTCACATGTGTATCTTTTATGCACATGTGGAAATGTTGCAGTCGGTCTATTGGATTTTCCTTAAGCAGAAAGCCCCCCATTTTTTTACCCCCTCACCTCTAACCAAGTCCACATCGATGAGATCTGGTTTAACGTGTCCCGTCTTCTTTGGCTTGTTCCTCAAGCCCTGCAGGGGGAGAGAGACGCAGAGTGAGTGCAACACAAAGAGACATCATTAATATGCAAATACTCACAGGGATACACGCTGCTCGTGCACTTTATGCCTTCATAAACACACGTGTGGTCAGTGTCTGATGAGGCACACCGTGCACTCACACAGCTACGGCTTCTACTCTAAGAGTTTATGCATCTACACACATCAAGCAGATTTACATGTACAAGAATCCATTAATTCGTGGAGAACTGCATCTACACTTTAATGTTTATTTTGATTCTTGTGCTGTGGTGCAGCTTTTTTTGATGAATATACCCTCTCAGACCCTGAAGCCAGCCCTGTCATTACAAACTGTGTAATAGCGCTTACTCATTTTGACTGCTGTAGTTAAATACGGTGCTTTGTTCAGTTTATGACCCTGGGAATAACGCTCCCCTGTGGCATGCCAACTTCCTGTGCCAGCCTGTCACATCCTCCTATGATGCATACGCTCCATTTGTGTGTGTGTGTGTCTGTTTTTGTGTGTTATCTGTTAGCTCAGATAACAAACTGTACCGAAACATTATGAGCGACTATAAATTATAAAATTCGCATGAATCTCTTGTTTGACCTTTCTGTCACAGAGGCAGCAAATTAACACAGCTCAAAGCTCCCTGTGTGTGTGCGTGTGTGTGTGTGTGTGTGCGTGTGAGAGAGAAAGAGATTAAGTACAATGCCTGAATTAGTGTGTAAGCAGCCCGACAATAGTTTGGATTAAATTATTATGATCTATAAACACAGCCGAGGTCACAGTGCTGTGTACACATGTGTGCACCTCTGTGTGCACGGCCTTTTTCTTGGCTCACCGTTGGGCTCCTTATGGCTTTACTGCAGCAGTTCTGACTAATTTCATGGAAAGCCACTCATCTCACAGGACCAATAATTGCATTTCTGTCATGGTCTTTAGGAAAGTTGAGGCTTGTAGTTTTTCAAACTTAGGACTCCACAAGTTTATGAAATATCCTCAGGCCTGTCTGAGGTGACACTGAGGCTCCGATTTCCTGGGAAGAACCAGCCTGTTCACAGAAAAGGTGTCTGGAAACATGTTTGGAAACAGGTTCTTCAGCTCTTGAATACTCTTGCACGTTTCCACTTAACACTAGAGTTAAGTGGAAACGTGCAAGAGTATCTAGATTTACTGTATCCTTTTACATCTTTCCTGGCAAGCACTCGTCCGTTTGGTTTTTCAGGGCTAGATTGTGCACATCGCAAAATCTCTGGAAACATTTTTAGGAAGACGGCCGCAGAAGCTCCGATTACTCTACATCATAATTACTGCTGAAACATTAAACTTATTTTTAGTCAGTCACCAGATTCCTGCATCTTTTTCCACTTTTGTGGAGTCTCAGTTTTCTGGCAGCTCCTTTCCAAACGTAGCCATAATCCAGACATGCTGCTAGAAAAAGCCCATAAGTTTAAAAATAAGGGAGGTATGGTGTTGGTCTTTATATAAAACTATGTTCATGCAGTTCGGAAATCACAGGTAATCGTCTATACTTGCAGCTGGATCTAAGTTTGGGCTTCCTGAGAGTACAATTTTTAGTCTTGGTATCACCTGAAACCTGGTTTTCTATCAACACTAGTACTGTCCTTAAGTCCTTAAGTAAGTCCATTCAAATTCTGCACATTTCAATGTGAGACATATCCAAGAGTACTGTGAAATACCACATAAAGCGGTGCACCTGAATCTGCTCAGCTCATGCTAATATTTACATAGCAGCCAATCAAGTTCTGTTATCAGCGAATGGTCTGATATGGAGCCTCGGTGAAGGTTCTTATCTTTAAATAGCACTATTTACATGCTAATATAGTGTGTGTGTGTGCGCGCGCATGTGTGTAAGAGAGTAAAGTAGATGCAGGTAGAGTCTTTACTGCAGCAGTAAAGTCCTTCACGAGCATCTCGCCTGGCCTCAGCTCACTTATCTCCATGCTGTGAAAAGCCTTTTATCTTCACAAGCTAAACATTGCTTCTGTGACTGACTGTGAAATATGTACAAAACAAAAGTTTATTTAAATCTAACATTTACAAACACTCTTTGCATTCAGTAATCACCACTTCTCTCACTGCTTTTCATCTGTTCTTTTGTTGCTGATGCTTGGCTGCATTTCAAGTTGTTTTTAGCCCTCAAACAGTAGTAACAGTAGTTTCCTGCCTGCACAGCAGGGGGCAGCTTGGGTTCTTCTCCAGACATTTCTACTATTAACAAACTCACGCTAGGTTTGGTTAAGTTTAATAACCAACCCCAACTGAGACGTAAAGTCTTTCTAATCCTAATTTTATTTTGTTAATAAGAGTTTACATTGTTTAAAAAAAACAACAAAAACAAAAAAATTTCAGCTCCTGTATCTGATGTTTTATTGTGTATGAACAGATTGTGCTCATGAGTGACAAATGGCATTTATTGTTTGTGTTGTAACAATAAGGCTTAACACCAATTAAATAAAATGGCATTGGTCTTTAAATCATTAAGTAATCCAAAAATACACTTTCTTTCCAGTTTGTAAATAAACTGCAGCTATGATCAGGGTTGTGATAAGAATAAAAGTAGTTCTCCTCTCTAGTGAGATAAGCTGTCGTCTTCTGCTAAAAATAGAATGAAGAGACTCGTTTCTCTAGATTTATGATGCCGATTGGTTGAGTTTATATGAGCCAATAAACGGTATAATTAACACTTAGCAGGAGTTAGAGCATCTTGTGTCAGTACCACACTAAGATGCGCTCTGTACTTCCTGCTGCAGCTGCAGACTCTGGGAAACCATTGCTTAACAGACATAAACCAAGGTCAGTGGTGTGCATGTGCGCGCGTGTGTGCGCGTGCGTGCGTATGTGCGCGTACTGAGCTGATTAAAAAGTCTATTTCTCTAAGAAGTACTATATGAGGGATGGAGGGTGATAGAAGCACAGATCTGTCAGATAGCAAAACTCTCATCTGAGGCCGATTCAATGCATATGAAATTTTAATAACTCCTTCAATAAAAAAAAATAAAACTACAGGAAGTTTAAATGCAAGAAAACTTTTCTGATTTAAAAAAGGTCAAAAGATCAGAGGTTGAACTTCCTATGTTGGTATAGTAATTTCTGCACTAAGGTGTCATCTTTTGGTTGTTACGGTAACTGAGGTCACATGTGCACATTGCTACTGTGAACTAGATGTTGAGGATGCACATTGTTAGGTCTGTGATGAGAGAAACACACCACACTGACTGGTCACAGGAATGCAGCTGTGACCCTGAAAACTACGTGATAACAAACCAGTAACCAATAAGAGTCTATTTTGTCTACAGCGTACCATGAGCAGACATGCACTGTGGGAAAACAGGAGGAACATCCTCCCTGCTGTGTACTCACCAGAGAAATAAACTGAAGAGAGGAAGAGAAAAAGATGATAGGAGGAGGAGGATGGAGGTGAAGTGAGGACAAATGGGCAGATGACACACAGCCAGGAGGACAGAAAGGAAAGAGTGAAAAGAAAACATAGGAAAAGTGACGGCAGAATAAAAACTGAAGCGATAATGCAAAAGGAACCACAAGACATGAAGGATGAATAAGCAGAGACCAGAAGGAGAAAAACAGGAAAATGAAAATGGCAAAAAGCAAAAAACCAAACCAAAACATGGAAGTGTGGAGGAAACAGACCTTTATTTCTCTCTGCTCCACTGATTTCTCCCATATCTGTTGGTCATAGGCGCCAATCTGGAAAAATAAAAAACAAACAAGGTATTAATTATGAAATCCAGTGAAGAAACCAGCAGTAAACACAAACCTAGTACAAGCTTTAATCTTACAAGATGCTCTGCAGACTTTACAGAAAAAAAGTAGTAATGATTGAAAACCACAACAGGTTTCTTTTACACACAACAAAGTTTCTGTTCTGATAAAGACTGCAGAGCAAATAAAAGGTTAGTGTCAGACCATCTGCCTCTGAACAATCAAACTTATGAATAAAGCTTGATCTACTTTCATTCTCTGCATGAAATCCGCCCTTCATCTGCTAGCTGCATCATCCCCATTACCTACAGCCTCATTATATCTCATAACAGGAAGCCTGCAGAGACACACGATTATGGTTAGAGCTTTGTTTTGTTTTGTGTGGGAGTTCAAGATTTCAGGCTCTTGCTTCACAACTGGAACTGTCACGGTCTCATAAAACTAGCTGGAATTTATTGAAAATACAACAGATATGGACGGATCTGAAAGTGAGCCATTAAAACACAGTAAATCAGACCCATAAGGAGAAATCCACTCCAGTAACGGGATTGTAAAGATGTCTGAACCTGGTGAATCGATGTTTTCTCCTCTAATGCTTTAAGAACTTTTGGTTTCAGCTGGTTGTATTTTAGTTATACTCCGATATAAAAGCAAGGTTGCCGAGCGCCTGTGTCATTTTGTGGTTAAATCTCCATCTTTCACAAATAGTAACTATGTCACTCAGTTGTTAATGTGAATTTCTGTTTAATATGGATTTCTGGGCATGTAGAGAAGAATAGATTTGCCATTTATAGCAATTTATCAGTTAATATTTGCAGTATAACAAACGTTTCCTTGGTATCTGAATGCACTGAAGTCACGTTCAAGACACCAAGTGACTGAATGGTCACAGAACTAGTCTCCATCTTTATAGCAACCACTTCAGTTTTCTTGGTGTTGCTGTAGCATAGAGTCCCAAACAGAGGAGCAGTTCAGCCATTATGTTGGAGGATAAATTATTGCACTCTGAGCAATCTACTTTAATAAAGTGCTGCTGTGCCCCGACTCTCAGTCTGCAGACTTTTTGGATGTTTTAATAACAGATAGAACTACAGCAAGTTAACAGGGATGTAAACACTTAATGCACTGAAATGTACAGATCACATAAAACCAGCAACAAGAACACATTACACCTACAGTACGTCCTGTCTGTTCTTTTCCTTGATTACCTCTTAACTGGAGTACAGCTAACAAAAACCCCTGATAGGATAATATGCACCAGCAGCTAGTATTTACCAATATTACACACAGGAGGAAGGGCAGGGCGAAATGAAGGGTGCACCACTTGTTACTGTCACAGGGATCAGAGGGATCAATAGACCTGCAGAGTGTTGGTGCGTGTCGAGGACTAATCGTGTTTATCAGGGTGTGCGTGAGGTCAGAGGAGTGGATAAGCCATTATATGCTATTATGTGCCAAGCAATGTGGTCTGTATGAGCCAAGCACAGCAGACACCAGAAAGAAAATATATCAGACAATGATAGAGAGTGCTGTTACTGTAAGAACAAGATATATTTGTATCTGATCTGGGAACACAGATCAAAACAAACGCACTCCAAGGTCAGACTGCACCAATTTCACAGGGTTGCTGGTTTCTTATGTCACCTGCTTTTAGATTTCACAATTAGAAGATACAATTCTACTAGAGTTGCACTATTAAGCAGCTTCTTTAAAAAAACAAAACAAAAAACAAAAACCCATCTCCTGGTAGAGGTGTCAGCAGATCAGGTTTTTCTTGCGAGCTTATATGCCTCCATGGCATCGAGTCTGGGTCACCCCATGAGCACGCCAGTGGAAACTATGCATATTTAATGCAGTTTCATTAATGATGAATGGAGAGAGAGAGAGAGAAAGAGGTCAAAGACGACGAAGGAAGAGCACCAAGAGAGACTGAAACAGAGAGGAATCAAATTTAGGAACTCAAGAAGAGAAAGTGTGTGCCATGTAGTTACAAAAAAACCAAAAACAAACCCTGTCTTATTACTAATATCACTTTACAAGTCCTCTAAAGTTAATTTTATTAACAAAACAACGATCACATTAGTGAAATGATTTGTTCTTTTATGTGGTGCAGACAGCACCTCAGTCTGGTGACATCTCCATGTCAACGATCACATATAGCAGTAAAAGATGTGGGTCAGGCAAGGTGTCACATCGTGGCCGTCCCACATAACAGGCACACTTTGACACCAGCTTCAGCACGTGCCTGTTGTGACACCGCCCTCCCGCAGGTCACACTATGGTACAACTATTGAGTACACATCAATCCCAAATTCTAATCAATTGGTTTTGTCTGGAGGTAGCTGGGTACTGTGAGGTTAATCATGCGGTTTCATGGACAGTTTTCAAATTATATTGTCCGGAACTAGCAGTCAGATTGTGATGCACTTGTTTCCTCTTTATGAAGAAGCAACATTTGATAATATTCTCTCTGTGTATAGTGATACCAATCTTTAGAACCAGGGTGCTGCTCTGATCGCATCTATTCCAGAGGTTCCAGATGTGTTTAATGCTGTAAAGACTTGTTCAAATACAAACAAACTAATTCTTCTATCAAGAAGTCTGCTGTTTTGATTATTTCAATATAAAATTTGTCAGTAAAAGGTCATTTATTCGCTTTTCCAACCTTTGCTAATGAATAACCTTATAAAATGAATAAATCCTAATTACAAATGACAAATGTTTATTGATAATAAAGCAACAAGCCGGGCCAGACAACGCAGTCTCTGGAAAGGCCTCATTGAGGAGCAGTGGTTGTGAGCGTATTTTGAACAAAGTTTGTTGTTAATTTCTGATGTTTTCTTCGCCTTTACAACATCAGAGAGCTCATAACAGGTAGAAACAGCTAAGTGTGGAGGGAGGATGACAGTACACGACCGTACAGTGTTTTTATTTACCGGAGTAGCTCGGAATGGGAACTAAACAAATTTGGAAATGCATGCTGAAGCTGGAATGAAAGGAATTGTCTGCCTAGGTTCCAAGTCTTAAAGTTAAGATAAACAGTCTCCAAAATATCAGTTTATTGATATTTATAATGACCTGGCCTTCTGTTATTGTGCTAAAAGTAGACCATAGCAAAGCAAGTTCAGTATTTCTAGTTTTATGGGCTAGAGATACTGAACTTGAGCTGACAAGACACCAGGACTAACTGTAAACAGATACATTTTACAAGCAAGTTTAATGCATTACAAATAAGTATGGACAATAATAATAGAAAAACTTGAGAAATCTTTGGCTATGCAGCTATAATTATGTATTAACATACAAGTATGCAGATGTGAGAAGGGAAAAAGTCTTTAATTGCGTGTTTTAAAGGGTTTGGCTGCACGCGAGCAAAACACAAAAGAATGACTTTATTTGGTGAATTACAAACAATTCAGCTTTTTATAATTAAACTGCATTCATGAACAACAGCTGGCAGGCAAAAGGAAATCTTGACCTTGGCATTTTCTTTTTAAGCTGAAAGTCCAGGAAAACTGGCAGCTACCCACCGAGGCCAAATCGGTAAACATGGTGACAGATTAACAGACTGTACGGTGAGTGTCAAAATCTACCTGCTGCTGAAGATCATGCAATTAAAGCACCTCCAACAGAACTAAGTTATAAACAGAGATAAAGGCAGACTTAAGGCCACCTTAATTTTTTCCTTCCCTGTCTCATTATAAATCTAACTAACTATAGGAAGGGGGGAAAAAAAAAGACCCTTTTTTCAACGGGTGCAACTTGAGACCTCCGTCTAATTTTAAACTCCTATTTAAACATTTATGACTTGGCAGACTCTTTGTCCGAGGCGACGTACAAATAAGGAAAGAATCCACGCTGGAGTGGACTGAGAAGCCTTTTAAGCAGGTGAATAAACACTCATCTCAATGTTCAGCTTCATAAGCATATAACGAAGAACTTATACTTGAAGCTAGAATTGAATATTACCTTTTACCACTGCTTTAAAACATTATAGATGCTTTTCAAAATAAATCCTTCATGTGTTATATAGTAAAAGGGTTGTAACTTATCGACTAGGGACAGATGAGGATCTCGAGGCTCCACCAGTAAGGTAAAACCAGCCGAGTTCTGGACGTCTGACTGACTGCATGACATTTAGACTGACAGCTAATTTTCCACTCCACTCGGCCCATTAAAACACACACACTCACACGCGAGGATGTTTGACTGTCCTCCACATATGCTCCAGAGGACAAACATGACCAGACTACTAAGTAGGAAGATAAAAGTGGAAGGGGGATAGATAAGAGTGAAAGTTGGTATGGAAAGTGGAGGCACACGCACACACGCTCATCTGTTGTTACATCATAGAGTCGCGAGGTAACTGTGATTTGACAAAGAGGCATTTACAGCACTGTAAATCCTCTTATCACCACACTCACACACCGTTACATCACTATCTATTTACCTCATCAACCACTCATGATCAGCCAGCTGGTTTTGACCATTTTGCAAAAAACTGCTTTAATAAATCTCAAATACTTAAATTCTCAGTTTTAATGTAAGGATTTGGACCAGGGAAGAACAAAAAAAAAATTTCAAAGTTCAGCAATTTGACAAGCAAATCAAGAGCTGAGAGCAAAGAGGCCGAGTGTGCCGCTGCAGCAATGCTGGAGTCGTCATGACAACAGAGAGGGACGATGCACCGAGGGGAGTCGGAGGAGGAGAAGAGCAGAGTTACATAACTGCCTCTGCAATTGAGGGGGTATCAGAGACAAAGACAGATGCTGACTTTCAGAGGAATGTTGTTGACGTGAAGTTTAACATATTAACAGAAACGTCAGCCGCGAATGATTTACACTCTTCAGTGCGCGATGTCGTCATTCATCCGTCGTCTGCTTGGGGTTTAGTCGGCTTAAAAATAACGAGTACTCAAATGTCAATCCTGGTCACAGACTTTACTGCATTGACTTTAAATCTGCTGTAATCAATATTTCTGCATT